TGTGTGTGTGTGTGTGTGTGTGTGTGTGTGTGTGTGTGTGTGTGTTTGTGTGATTGCGCGCGCGTGTGTGCGTAGTGCGGTCTGCGGCGGCGGCGGTAGCGGTGGCGGCAACGGTCGGCCGTTCTTTCGGTCGGGGAAAACGGCGCGCGGTAGTGCTGTACGAGCGTTGCGGCCGGAAGAACGTGGCGCGGTCGTCGTCGTGTCGGTCGCATCTCGTACGGTGTATGCGCGCGGCACGGTCGCCAGTGCCAGCCAACGTTGTGTGGCCGCGTGCCCTGTGCGGTGGCCGTGTGGAGTGCGAGAGCCGTAGCCCGTCGGCGCGTTGCTTCGGTCGTCGTGACCGGGATTCTCGTCGTTTAACCGGACGGGAGAGGACAACGAAAGCGGTGGTCCTGCGAGATAACAAGTGGTACGCAGCGGTACAGGTAGATAATAGATAGATATATAAATAGATATATATAGAGAGAGAGAGGGATAGAGAATAATTCAAGTGCGCGGGCGCGCGTGAACCGAAGTTGACGCGGACGGTCGCATCGTGACGTAGACGGGCCAGCGGACGCGAACGCGAACACGGGAAGGCCGGCCCCGAGGCGGGCTCTATCGGCACGCGTATGGGCTGCGACCTGGGCAAGTTGGCCAGCTCGGCCGCGTCCGGCGACGAACGCGGCGGCAAGCACAAGAATCGGCTGGAGGAGCCGCCTAGTCCCGGGCCCCCGGACCCCCGGCTGCCGCTCACGGCCAAGCAGAAGTACAGCATGATCGCGTCGTGGAAAGGCATTTCCAGAGCGATGGAACCCACTGGCGTGTACATGTTCATCAAGTGGGTACAACAACGATCTAGCGTGCGCGCTTCGCTGGTAACGGTATCGCGACCCCCGGGGCACCGTTGCCGTTAAACCGCTGCGTTTTGTGTTGACATACGTACGTTGTCATCGTCACCGGCGCGTCGTCGTCGTCGTCGTCGTCGTCGTTGAAAGTACTCCGTTTCACGTGTACCAATAATACATTTCCGCGCGGACCATCCCGCGCGTTGTTCACGTAAACCGTCTGGAAAGATGTGGGTGTCCAGGTGCGCGTTTCGCGACCAACCGCGATTATGATCGCGTCGCGTTCCCTACGAATAAGCGGCGGCGGTGCACGTCGTACGATAAAATCTACTGCACAATGTCCACCACGGGGTCAACGTTAAGATCGTTGTTTAGTTATATTTTATCTCGTCCAGATAGATGGTTGCACGTTATCCGTACGATTATTTTTGATAAGAAATTCATTTATCCAGATAAATACGTCTGTACACAAAAACAAAATACGAATTTTTACTAAAATTTGATTTTATCGATAGTTAATACTTGAAATTTGAATTTTTAAACCACCCCGATAGCAACGATTACGAAATAATAATAGTGATTTATAAACGTTTTCGTTATGATCCCGGTTAGGTTAGTGACTAACCGTTAATCCATCGCTCAAATACAGAGTAGATGTTTTTGTTACGTTAGGTTGGTGAGCTATTAAATTATCCGGAAAAGTGATTATAAATATTTATTAGTAAGAAAATTACACTAGTGAGCTACTCTTTAAGATCTCATCTATTTAATTGATTTTTGCATTATTATTTTTATCATCGAATAGCGTTCTTTTATTTATTGTACGTATAACCATAGGCGTGCACAGACCTATTTTTTAGGGTATGCAGAAGGTTGCAGAAGGTCTCTATCACTGCCCTTCCCCATTCACAATAGAAGATATCTTAGGCGTTCAAAATGCTGGTAAAAATGTACATACAAATGTCTAAATAATTGTTGAATTTCAAATTTTTTTTCTTAAAAAAAGTGACTCAATGGCCATTTCTTTATTGTTATAACTGTCTTCATCACTATAATTTAAAATAATTTACGATAAAACAAATTAAATATAAAACACTTCAAATGATTTGAGTATTATATTTGAATAGTGAAAATAAACAAAAATATACTCAATATTATAATTTGAAAAATAATTATAATTGACCATAACACAATTCTACGTTAAGTCAATAATGTCATTACGATTTACATTTTTAGCCATTTCTCGCTCTACAGTTAAAAGCATTGAGCTATTTAATCTCACTTGAAGCATAGTACTTCTTCATTTTGACTTCATCAATATTAATTTAGTAAATGATCGTTTACATGTATAACTTGTAACTGACATTACTGCAAATTACTTTATCGCAATAATAAATAGTTCAAAAATAAAATGTTTATCAAATTATTTTAACCATTGAAGCCAAACTTAAAGTATTTTAGCATCACAGTTGATTTCAATTTGTTTTGTTGTAACAACGTTATTTCAGCTACCAATTCATCTTGATTGCACTTAAAGCGTTTACTTAATATATGTGTTGAATGATTATATAAAATGAAAAAATAAAAATATAAATGAATCTCTTTATAATAGTTCGGTTAGCAAATCTTTGTTCTTTGGTTAACAAAACTATGTGTATAATATAAACGATATAACAAGTATCTTTACTAATATATATTTAAATACATATTAAAACTGTTATGAAAGTGTACAATAATCAACATTTACTGTGACACATTACATGTGCAAAATAGTTTTTCTTTTATACTTATTGAATATTGACTAATAATGATGTCAACTACCAACATCATGCATGTAGTCTGTGTTTAAACAATATTGAAGTACTGAGTACTATACTAGTATCAAGAATATAGACTTAAAGGTATAAAACAATTTTTTTTTCTAGATAAAAATTTATTTTTCTTAAACCTAAAACTTATCCTGATAAAAATATTTATTTAATCCCAACCCTGATAACAGTCCATGGTTTATAATTATATTCTTATGCGTATTTTAAATAATTCTGTCCGTAGCTCACTTGTGTACTATATTCGTATATCTATATATAAATACGTAAATGGAATCTTTGTCACACATGTACCCTGAAACCACTCAGTCAATTATTTCGATTTCTTTATTTAACGAAAGAGTATATCACGAAACAAGGTTTAAACTTTATTTCAATTCTATACGTTAATTAAGTAATTATAATTATTTTTTTTAAATTTATTTCATAGGTGATTCTCAGAATATTAAGTAAAAAAGCTTTTTCTGTTATTCTTAATACCTATAAACAAGTATTGTCTGATTTACAATAGAATTTATAAAAACCACGATTATAATATATATATATATATAGTAACCTAACCTAACATAAAAATAAGCATTTATTTTTACGGGCAAAGTCGAGTAATTCAGTTATATATATATATATATCAGAACAGACAATATAGCGCGTAAGGGTTTGGGGAGGAATCTTCCGCGGGCACAGGCGTTAACGGAAGGTTCCGGAAATTCGGGACGGCTTACCAGACAAAGCACATGATAGACAGACCAACATTTGTGGGACCCTGTAGGTTTCTCTCTCTACGGTTCTATTACGTGTAATAATTTTCACTTTGTGCATTATTTTCCAAAGTTTACTTTGCGATGCTTGTATTGTCACAAATTCGTTTCGTACATTTATGAATGAGAAATTTTGAAAATTTTTCTTTTTCAAAATAATTTTCTCCGTATTTTAGAAGAATTTAGAATTCTAAAAGATTTTTTAGGGTATTTTTGAATACAAAACGTGAATTTTAAATTTTATTTTAAGTTTATCAACGTTTACGTGATATTTAATATTAGCCAACATGTATTCGTATTATACAATCGGTTAATAGTAGTTTTAAGGCCAAATCAAACATTTTTTCCATTCAACTTTATAAAATATCGTTTAGACTAAAATTACAAAATAAAAATAAATTTGGTGAATTTTTTCAATATGCTGTTCAAAATTCAAGGAACGTAAGCATTTTTTTTTATTGTAATTTCTAAGTTTTTCCGCGGTTAATTTACACTTGACTTTTTATACGTGCCTAGCGAATTAAATTAGTTTTCGTCTTCTTTCTGGAACGAACACACCCTTTCACTTAGCTAACGAGCAGTGATGATGTTTCTAAACGGACAAAATTAAATGCAAACGGAACGGAAAAGTTAACAATCCTACCCTTTGTGCACATCAATACGTTATCAAAACGTGTCGGCGAATACTAAATACATTCTGATACGATAGATCCCGTTTGTATTCTTATACGTACCGGTGACGTGCAGAGGATTTTTGAGAGCACATGAAGTTAAATAAAATTACGCCCATCCAACTATTTAGTGCCTAATCTACTGCCTACTGTATCAAGAGCAAGAGCTCCTCTAAATTGTTGTTTATAAAATAAAATATTTATCTTACTCAAGAACCAATTATTTTATCATGAGTAGTAGTAAATACAAATGTAATGGTAATCAACTTGTATATAATTATGTACTTGGTAATTTACTAAATTAAATTTCACCGAATAGAAATTTGATTAATTGTAGATTAAAATTAATATTCAAAACATAAGTACCTATTTACAATATCTGCTGGCTAAACACCGAATGACGATAGATAATATTATGATTTTCTTTTACATTCTACCTCTATCATATTATCATAAATGGTAAATCATATAATACCATATAGTAGTGTATACCAATTACGTACTGTAGTTCAAATATATATTGAACTATTTAATATTTATTATCCAATGTGATCATTGATATTGTTTCTTAGTTAATAGCACCGATGCAATAATAAAAACAATATTATATTATTAATTATAAGGCTTTATATCTAGAATAGACGATCGAAGAAAAAGTGAAATTAATTTTGAGAGAAGTCTGAAAGTGTATAAATGTAATAAAATAAAATAAAATTATAATTATTTAATACTATTATTATGGTTCACTAGTCCATTCAATTAATTCAGATAATGTTTTTAAAAAAACTAATAATTATTTGGGTAGAACACAATTGCGTACGTTTGTAGATGGATAACAAAAAGGTGGATAAGAAAAATAAACACTATGCGTATGAAATTGTATGCAACGTTGTCAAATTTACTAATTTTACCGTATTATATCTAAATATAGAATACATATACAAAAACAGTTTTATAATAGTTCATAGTAAAAATTAGTAAGGGCCGGTTTCACCATTAAAGAGTTAAAGTTGAGATTAATTAACTCTGAGTTTATCAGTAACCCCAAGTTATCATTATTTCAGTTTCACCACCAGTTTATAAGTGGAAGTTAGTAAATCTCAGGTTAGCTAATTAATTGCTGGTATTAACCAGGATTCCCTCTCATTTTCCACTTATAGCATTGATAACACCGCTCATTGAATTGATAACGCTGAAAACGTTAACCCTTTCAGACCCAAATTAATTTCTTATAGAGATAAAAAAAATTGTATTGCTTATTCATTTTACTATGGACAATAATAAGAGTAAAATGTTTTAAAAAAAATTTATTTTTAGATTTTGACGAATTTAGGAGTATGTTCTCTATAGGGGACATTGAGCCTGAATGGTTACAAAAAAATTAAAATTAAAATTTTCATATTAAATTTTAAAATGTTTCAATAAGTATAAAGCAATATAATGTAATGAAAAATTATTATTTTTATTATTTAAATTATTATTCGCGGTCTTCGTTGCATCGCAATAATAATGTCGTCGTTATCGCTCTCACTCTCGTTATCAAATAATATTCTACGATACATTATAATAGTATCTTCACAGGCAGAAAAATTGTATGCAAAAACGAAATATTCAAATACGACACACAATAATCATTATTGAAAGCAAAAAATATGTTAACAGTAATAACACGTTTTAATACTGTTGTTTGAACTAAGAGTTATCTTTTAACACTCAAAATTATTAGGAGTTAAAATCT